GGGATCTATACACAAACTCATAAAATTTACATGTCACTAAAAGTTCTGTCAACTTTTTAGACATCACTCTCACTTTAAACCAAAAAAAACTGGCGATCCACCCCATCTAACGTTTAGTCAACTACAGCCCCGTTTACCCAACTCAACTCAACTCTACAAAATTTTAAGTGCAACTTTAAAAAAAACAAATAAGCTGTTGGGATCGACATTGATGAAAAAAAAAAAAAAAAAAAAAAAAAAAAAAAAAAAAAAATGAGTGGATAGAAAATGAAAAAAAAAAAAAAAAAAAAAAAAAAAAAAAAAGGGTACCGTACTTACATTCTTATCCATTATTCTCTGTACAGTCTCCAAGGTTTCAGCAGACACTGTTTCACTTAGTCTGTGTTTCACCAACCGGAATATCGACATGTGCTCAAGGTAGAAATGATACTTGGCCTGATACGAAATGAACAGAAGTCAACTTTGGTTTCAAAGCTCTTCAAAATACGGACGGTTATATATGAAATTAACTAGGCTAGCAGTTAGGGCTTATGAGTCCTTTTGACTCTGGGGCATCAAGAGTCTGTTATTCAATGGGAATAAAGTTAACTAAAACAAGACATAAGGAAATCTAATTTTTAAAAAAAAATTCTTTCACTTTTGTTATTTTTTAAATAAATTTTGCACACGCAAAAAAAAAAAAAAGCAACATATTCCATAATTGCCTCTTTTACTCTATAAATCATAGCTATTTTTAAATAATGCACATCTCTATCCAGCCACAAACAATGCCTTTCTGAACAATTTACATCGTGTTGTATTTGAGATCTGAGAGCATTGAGGGACACAAATTTATTGACAGAAACAACAGACAAAAAGCTAGAGCCTATTTGTGTATTTGTCAAAGAAAAATTCCCCATGATATAACTCAAAACAACTTATTCTCCCTACACTCTCTAACAGTGGCAGTAGAGTAGATCTTGAGAACAAAAGCTGTAAACAAACAGGAAAAGTACTGGTACCTTAATGTACATTTTCAGCAGTTTATCCTGTGGTTTGGTAATAGGATTCAGTTTCTTCAAGTTCTGAATGGCAGTTACATATTGGGACAACACATGTGTCAAGTCTTCCTGGCAGGGAAAGAAATTATAATATTCCAGTAATTAAAAAGTCCTCTTAATTTAAAGATTTATATTTAAGAATTAAAATGTTTTTTTAAATCATAATTTTGTATATTAATGATAAGTTTTCAAAATAATTTAAAGAATATTGATAGACTTTATAGTTCTTAAGAGAAATTAAAAATTTATTAATGTCATCTATTGAAGGTTTATTTGAAACATTCATAACTTTAATAAGAGTTGTTTATACACATAATTTGTCTTTAAATCCACTAAAGCTTCATTGAGTCCAACCCTCTACAATTTACTTCATTTCACCAACCTGAGCCTTAGCCAGACTTTTCATATTATTTTGATAGCTTGACTTTCTGGACTTATCAGCCAAAGAATTCACAATATCTCTATACTGAAAGAAAATTAATTTAAAACACAAAAATAATTTTTCAGTTTTTTGTTTTAAAAATAGCAAATTTAAATTTATGATAGCTTTTTAAAAACTTCAACAAATATAATTGAGGGCACTAATCTTCACAAATTGTTTAATGCCCTTTAAGTTTCCAGAGTTTCATGGCCTTCAAAGGCTGATTTTTGTGCTTGAGAAATTCTTAATATTTCTAGTGTTAAATTGCTCAAGTTTAAAAATGTTTTCCTTTTTTAATTTTAAGAGTATTTAACTATGTGCTGAAAATGAATATGTTCATAACAAAACATTTCCATTAATTTGGATCAATCAAAGAAAGAAGAAAAATCTGTCTTGACTATTTCTAAAACTGACACAGCAGGTAACAGATGATGAGTAACATTTATTATATCAAAGCCTAAATAATTGGATCAATCAAAGAAAGAAGAAAAATCTGTCTTGACTATTTCTAAAACTGGCACAGCAGGTAACAGATGATGAGTAACATTTATTATATCAAAGCCTAAATATTTCCCCGACCTTTGGTAACTGTTTCTTGACCTCGCCCTCAAATCTGTGAAGCTTCTGGTCCAACTTGGTCAGGTTCTCCATGAAATCTGAACCGTTGAGAAGACTATCTTCCTCTTCCTGGTAAATCCCTGCTTGTTTGCTGGCCAGATTATCCTGACAAGAGTTGCATACCCTCATGTACAGGCTTATTTCAGGCTCAACATTAGGACACTGTAATCATTTTCATTTTTATATGAAATGGAATGAAAAAAAAATTTTGTGGATAAAAAAAAAACTTAATGAACGAGGTCAGTGGTTCCCAAACTTTTAAGTTTGGCGGACCGGTGAACAAGTTTCAAAATTTTATATTTGTATACTTTTATTTCTATTTGACAATAAATATTTATGTTATGAGGACCGGCATCGTTAGTCATGCTGACCAGTGAAGGTCCACGGACCACCATTTGGAGACCACTGAACTAGGTGACCAAAAATGTAAAGACTGCCATATTACATAATACTCTCGTTTCAACCCCCTTGAGATAACTTTAAAAAAAAAACTCATTCTGACCAATAGGGTTTGTCATTTCTCAAACCGGAAAACGTCATAGCGTTACTATTTTTAGATCACCGAACAAATATGTCTTAAAACAGGGCAGCTAAAAGTGTGTTTCAGCATATCGTTCGGACGATCCTTGTATCTAGAGTCACTGTTACATGTGGCTGTACGCGCAATGAAGTCCCATTTCACAAAATAGCAGTTTTTTTTTTAAATGTGTAAAATACTTCGTAGAATATAGTTGTGCACAAGTTTTGAATTAGTTAAGGGGCCTCTTAGCTAACATAGTAGTAGTACTGAACAGTGTTGACATTTTGTCCAGCCCGAGTACCCGGATGATTACAGCAGTTCTATTAAAAGATTGTTTTATTCCCCCCCCTCCTTTATTTTATGTCAAAGATGGGAGAATTTGTTACTTGAAAATATTTATTTTTACTTTTTGTTCTATAATTATTCAAATTAACATTATTTGCTAGACATTCATTCCAAACGAATAAATTAAAAAAGGTTTTGTATAGATAAATTACAAAATACCTTAGGTAAAAAAAAATAAATTCAACTCCATTAATATTTGACTGTCTGATAATAAACCCACAAAAAAAAAAAGTCTATTAGTGATATTTGAATTGCATTTTTTAATTTTTTTTTTTTTTTAAATAAATCGGCCCTTTGCTTTAAACTTTAAGTTGATACACCGGTAAAATTAAATAAAAAAAACTAAAAAGAATAAAAAAAAAAAGTCTATTAGTGATATTTGAATTTCATTTTTTAATTTTTTTTTTTTTTTTAAATGAATCGGCCCTTTGCTTTAAACTTTAAGTTGATACACGGGTTAAATTAAATAAATACAACTGAAAAGAAGAACCTACCCCAACAATTTTGATAATGGCCCATTTGGGATTAACAGTTCCCTTGTCTTCATCACTGATATACAACAGAAGATCCATGCTGGAGTGGGATTTGCACACAACAGTCCCACACACCCGACAAAATAATTTCTTTGAGAGCATTCCAAAGGTGGCTTTACAAAACTGGCAGCTGTTGGACAGAGTCTCTTTCTGAGGATTGAATACATTGACCCTGGTCTGAAAACTTAACTAACATTTACACTGGTCTATAAACTTAAAATACTATCTCCTTTACATTGAGATTGGTTTGTAAACTTAATATACAATCTCCTGTACATTTAGACTGGTCTGTAAACTTAACATACTATCTCATGTACATTTAGACTGGTCTGTAAATTTGTCTGTAAATGTAACATACTATCTGCTGTACATTTACACTGGTCTGTAAACGTAACATACTATCTCATGTACATTAAGATACTGGTCTGTAAACTTAACATACTATCTCCTGTACATTTGGATTGGTCTTTAAACTTAACATGCTATCTCCTGTAACTGTTAGGATCCTTAAAATAAATATAAAGCTTGTCTTTATGGGGTAAAATTCAAAAACTATTTCCTGTTACTGCAATAAACCTTCATAAATATATATATTGGTCCTAAATTTATATTTTCTAACTTTTTTATGAAAATATATATTTTAAAAAGTGATTTAAAAAAAAAAAACAAGCCAGAAATAAATATTTAAATTTGTTAATGAAAAAAATTTGTTTAAAAATGAGCTGCATTGCTCACTAGAGTTTGAGTCTGCTACATTAGTAATAAACCCCACATCTATATCACAACTGCTACATTAGTATTACAGACTACCATCTATATTCTGATTGCTACATTAGTAATATACCCCACTGTCAAGGGTATGAGAATCACTGTTATGTGTAGGTTACTTTTGTTATGTTTGGTATGGAAAAGATGTTAGTTTAGAGATTATATGTGTAGCTGTATCTATTATGTGAGATAGTTGTGATGTATTTGGGTAAGGGGAAATGACCCTTTAGTTTTGTGGTTGTTATGGTGGCCGTTGTAAGATATTCACGGTTTAACTTGTAGTGTTTTACAGGAACATCTTGATTATTGTTTAGAACTTATATAATTGAATTGTCAAGGTAAATAAACTTATAACGTGCAACAAACCAATTTGTGTTTAGTGTATTGGTATCAGTTGCTATCAGTTACACTGGCCCGTGGGGTGAAGTGGGAGACAATTCCCAAACAGGTAGACATGTATCATCAAGGGTAGATGAGCACAAGACAGCAAGTTCTACATCTCGTCACCCACCAGCTATATCCTGACTGCTACATTAGTAATATACCCCATCTATATCCTGTGTACTACATGAGTTATTTACCCAAACCTGTTTACCCTCAAACTCTTAAAATCGTAAAATATCATCACAAAATCGTTCAATACATTATCTTAATAGTAAAAAAATAAACATATAGTATATATAATGTATACACCTTAAAATCGTACATTGTACGCCAAAATCGTAAGAGTAAACAGGTTTGTTTACCCCACCATTTATATCAGGCCTGCACAACGCAAAATGTAATACTTAATGAAAAACTTGTGAGTGCCGAAATATAAAAGGACAGGGGTAAAAAGCTATTAAAAAAATAGTAACAATAAAGAATATGTTGTTACTTCCCAGGCCGCAAAGTGGGTGCTGGCGGGCTGCCTGTTGTGCAGGCCTGATCTATATCCTGACAGCTAAATTAGAAATATATCCCACCATCTATAACATGAGTGTAACCATAGTCATAAGCCTTACAATCTTTTTCCAGACTGCAACTTACAAATCCAAACCCGAACAGATAACACTGTCCAGACCTCAACTCTGCCAACTTATATAAATCAATTATCATCCACACCCCCAACAGCAAACGTAATCTCTTAGGATGCATGGCCCACCTCTGCCAACTTAGCAACGTCCTTACCATCCAAACAGAAGATTTTTGCCAATCAGGTGTTGTCACTAAACTCTTTAGTTCATGCAGTCTACACTGCAGCTCAGAACTTCCAATGCTCCTTCCAAAGCCAGTTACTAACCTTAAAAAAGACATGGGGAAACAAACATTTTAGTTTTCTTAGCGAAATTCAAAATCTTTTTCAAACCCATGATAAAAAAACATCAATAATAATGGGAGATTGCTTTTAATTTTTAGGTTCATGATCTAATACATGTTAAATATATGTAAAAATTGTAGTTAAAACACTTTTCCAAGTATAACAGAAGCTTTAATAACTCAACTCTGGTCAAAAACTTCAAATTTCATGACTATTGCTAAAGCCCCTCTTGTTTAGTAGTCATGTGACATAGTCAATTAGATTCCACCAAATACAATTTTTAAGAAGTAGAACAGAATCTTTAATTTAAAAAACATATTTAAAAATGGAAAAAATTACGGTACTTAAGAATTAGGGGTTAAAAATAGATTAGGCAGAATGGTTGAGGCTGACCTTTGAATTTCTCTATCAATATTTAAACGTGATCTCCACTCAGTGGAGACTGAGCTTGAAATTTTGGAATTGGCCCTTATATCTTTGAAAAGTTCAAAATGGCTTGTTGAATGACCAACATCGTCAAGTTTGCCTTGCTCAAAACAGGCTTTACACACCTAAAAATAAAATATGGTTGCTTATACACAAAATAAACATTACTACTTTAAAGGAACTTGTATTTAGTTTTAGTTTGTCGAAAAATATTCCTTTGGCACAGAAGTCTTGCAATAAAGTCAGATAGAAAATGTATATTGTGTCAGGAAATATTAAAATTTTGAAAAACGTTCGTCTATAAAACATTTGCACAATATGAAAATTCTGGTTTAAGAAAAGAATGATATTTCTTTGTTTTTATTTATGTACCGGTACTAGATACTTATAATGTATACACGATTTAACGCAACATAATTGTTTCATTTCAGCTTCTTTGGGCTTCTTTATAATTAGCTTAAATAATACCTTGTAGAAATCACCATCAGGATCAGGATTAGCTAATTTGTTCAGGCGCCGCTTGTATTTTAGGCAATCATTGCAGAATACTTCACCACATCTGTTAGGAAATTGAATATCTTTATAATTATTGCAACCTTAGTCTAGTAATAGTTTTAGCATCCACGGAAAAGTTCTAAAGAAGATTTGTTCTTCATCAAATTACTTGACATTTTATAATTCAAACGATGATTTTTAGTATTAAATCCACTTTTTATCCCATATTGAATTGTAAATATATTAACTTAAAAATTGTTTAAATATAAATACATTGCAATGGGTTTTTTTAGTGTACATTTTATTAACAAGATCTGCATAGACAGCTGTTAAGAGTTTTAATAATAATATTTTTCTCCAGATCTCCAAGGTAAAATAGCTAGAGGATTACAATTACATACAACAAGCAGATGAGCTTTCAAATGTACTGTAACTATTAAATAAAATTTGCTTATAATTAGCTGTAAATATTTTAATTTAATTAAATTTAATTTAAAAGAAAATTCAAATGATTTCCATAGTTCAGGAAAGGGTAAATCAAATGCCGCTTTTACCCCATCCTGATATTTCAATCATAATGATCATTTGAAATTTGAGGAACACAAGCAATAAGCCTACACAGCCCATTTGTAACAAACACAATATTCATATCAATAATGCCAGCAATCAGAAAAAGATTATAGAAAAATCTTGATTTTCATAATGTTTGACAACCAAAACAGAAATGAATATAATCCAGTAATTGGAGAGAGTTACTTTTTTTAATTTGATCATCATTTTGGCGACCCCCTTTGATCACAGATTTTTCTTCAGTTTTAATGAATGTTACTTACCCTAATGATTTTGAAAATTTAATCTTCGTAATGATTTGGTTCTTATAATTAACAATACATAACAAAGGACTGAGAAAAACAGTAGGTACGTAAAGAAAACGATACCAAAGCTAGTGATACGAACAATGTTAAATTTAATAAAATAAATAAATTCCTATAGAGATACAAAAAAAAAAACCAACAAACTATTAACTTACAGCAAGTAAAAAAGGTACATTCCTCAAAATGAAAATATTAATTTACACACACTATTATATAATTTCTCGTAGAGCAAAGAATTTCTCTCTTACACTCTCTCTATCTGTCTTGCTCTGTCTATCTGAGTCTGGCTGCTAAGAAAGTATGCAGCCTATATATAGGAACCAACTCAGAATGTTCTATTACAGAAATTCTAAAAATTGTGTCACCTAATGGCATTCTTTGGAATAAATATGAAGCTCTGGAATATAAACAACATTTTCCCAGTCAAGAAAGGGGCAGGCAAGGAAGGAGTGACACAGCACATTTACAAGGTGACGTCACTATCAAAGCCATACTAATGAAACAAGTGTGGTGCCTAAAAATAACTTTTTGTTGAAGTGAAAACAAACCATACGCTATACTAGGCAACACTGTAACAATGACCAAGACAGTCAAACTGCAACATCAGAAATAGTAAGCATCCGTACCTGCGGCAATGATTAGGTCGTTCTAAAAGTGTTGAGAACTGTTTGCGGCATCCATTATTAAAGCAGCAAGTTCTATTTTCAACAGGTTTCCAGTGCCGCTTTGTTATATCTATAATGATACAAGAACATACTTGCTTGCACTTGTACTGTGTCTCAAATAAGATCAAAATTGAACCTCTTACAAAATTAGCAACAGCCTTACTTAAGACATTAATTTTTTTCAAATTATACAAAGTAACAAAAACATTAGAATTCACTTGCTGCAAGATATGTGCACTGTCAGAATTTTCCAGCAGGCTTATCATTTAGTTAGAAACCATATAGTTATTCCTAAGTCATTATGGATAAAATAGAGAACCATGTGATGATTCAGTGTGACTATTTGTTTTCGAAAAGTTACTTTAAAATCATCTATTCGTCTATCTTAAAATTATCAAAGTTTAATTTGTTTAATTATTCCATGTTTTTTTTTTTAAAGTCTGTAATTTTTTTTAAAATGTAAAATACTAATACGCTGAAACTGAACATGGAAAATGTAATATTAAAAAATATAATAAAACAATCCTATATCATCTTATTACATTACATGACTTGATTATTTTTCAAAATGTGCCAACAAATATGTGCTGACCTTTTAAGATTCCAATGTACTCATAGTTATTTGTACTCTGTGTTAGGTTGTCTATTTTTGCAAAGTAACTTGTAAAGGATGCATCATTTGATATTCCTGTATTGCTGTGGCCTCTCACTGTTGCCATTTTGATATGTCATTAAGTCAGTGACTATGGTCAACGGCTCTGAAATTAGGTTTAAATTGTGATAATAAATTGGAGCAGGTGTCCTAAATATGTCCTACCACTGGAAGCACTTAAAGAACAATTTTGTTTTTTTATTTTACTTTAGGGCCAACAGCTAAAATAAGACAACACACAAGAAAGAGATGGAAAATCTATATTTTATACTCTCTTTTTAAAGATGTTCCTGATGGACAATAGATAGGCCTAATGTAAATTAAGCAATTTTGACATTTTTTTTTTATCAGGAAAATTCTGAGTAATATGTATTAATTGAGGTACATAATGAAAATTTGTTCAAAACTTTTGAAGGAAAACTGAATTCCATTTTATATAAAAATAGGCTAATCCAGTGGTTCCCAACATTTGCTCAGTGGATCAGTAAGGGCGTTGCATGTACTTCTCAGGGGCTCTGCAGCTCTTCAAGTAAACACCTAAACAAGATTAACTTAATGAAACGCTACAGGAACACCTCTAGTGTTGGCAGCATAAACTATATATAGAAGAAGTTATTGAAACGCTAACTTACTTAGTTACATACACACTAAGACCAAACACAACATTGAGAACAGTACAACAGTGACAAATAAGTGAGTGGTCAGTGTTGTTGAGTGACAGTAGTAGCTTGATGAAGTTTAAGTAGTCAGTCGGTTAATAAGAGTAGTTAAGAAGTTAAGACTAAGTGTAAGTCTAAGACTTAAGACTAAGAGTTGGGTAAAGCATACACTTACTGATACTGATACTGTTTTCATCCACGCATAATCAGTCCGGGTGTTTTGACGTCTGTGACGTCGTGTGAGGTATAATTTCCAAAAATATTTTTTTTAATGGACCAAAGATCTTTATCTTCTATTCTACTATATTTAATTATGTTGTAATCATTTAGATAGGCCTGATTAAATTACTTTTCATGGTTGGAACTAAAAAGCAGCTCTAAGACTAAGTGTCTAAATCAAAGTATCAAAGTCATTTTACTTTATAGCAACTTGTCGGAGATAATACTATATTATTGTGGGCTTCAATTTATAAAGCAAAATTTTCTCTATTGTAGAATCCACAATGACCATTAGCCGTATTTTCTAAACTATGCCATTCAAATTATACAATTGCGATATATATAATATTCATTCTTTTACTTTTAAAATAAATGATGAACACAAAAAGTGGCTATTTACCGCGCCGTAACATACGTTTCGGAAAATGGTAACAGCTTTGCAAAAAATATTAGGTCTACTTAGTTACTATACGCCTTGATAACTTTTTAAAAAAGCAGTTTTCTACATATATTTATATCTTCGGGTATAGTGAAGAGAATTCATATGCGGAAAGCATCGCCATGAGAATATCACCACTATTAATTTCACACCAAAGACTTTTACCCGTTACCATAAATAGCCTACTAGCATCCTAAGAGTACAACCGCAGTTTAATCCCAAGGCCCAAGACCAATGTTTATAGGCATATACAGGTTATATATATATATATATATATATA